AGCCCATACCGCCATTCAAGCCCCCCTATCATGATGAATGAAAACAATCTGCGTGTTGATGGAATGTACTTTCTTTCTATTGACGAACACGTCCTCATCTTTTGATGGCGCAATTATTTTTATGTGCGTCCCGTCAATAGCACCGACCACACCGGGCATACCTGCATTGCCATGAAGTTGGCTTTGATCCTGTGTAGTTGTTGATTGTCCAAAGGAAACCGGATAAACTGTTGGATGATATGTGGTCTAGAGAGCGCGTTGATGGTTTGGTTTATGGCACGGCTGACTGATGGTTGCGATATTCCTAAATCGTCGGCATTGCAAAGTTGCATTTTCCCTGTTGCTAAATATCGTAGTGTTGCCAAACATTTTATTTCCGGACTAATCGGGTTATTCCTGTTAGTCGGGGATGTTATTGCATCCCGCACTAATTCCACAACAAGTTTGATACCCTCACGATTTAGCCTATATCTCTTGATCAATTCACAGTCTTCCATTGTCTCCAAAACATTTCGTCTCTCAGCCATTTTCAGATTCTTTGTGAATAGGTCTTACTGAGTTAGGAGTCCTCTCGAGGACTTTTAAGCTCTCCTAAATTTAGGTGCTACTTTTAGGCCTAAAATACTTTGTGAATTGCTCTTAGTGAATAAAATTAGGAGTCCTACATTTAAGACTGACACGCCCATTATGTTTAGGAGTTTCTCCTAAATTCGCCAGTCTTTTAGCCCTAAGATCCTTTGTGAATACGGCCCCTGGTATCTGAAGTTCTATCTGTGTCAGAGACATTTCCATCTGTGTTTCAGTGCCTTGGTTGCAGACGTAATTGTCTAAATGTTGGCATGGTTTCAGATATTAGCTTAAGTTTTGCTGCTGGTTTAAATACAGATGTTTTTTTTTCCAGTGATCTTCGGACGAAGCTGGCCATAGACTACGGTCCAGACTGGGAGTTCCTGTTTCTGAACAGCCAGTGTTACCAGCTTAACGTTTATGAGTGAGTACTTCTTTATTCATCTTTGCCTCTCAAAACTAACCCTTAAGCTGTCGACATGATGACTTCTCTCTAAGAGGACATGTTATGGTCATTTTCAGGTTGATATTAGTATTTGGTGCCTCTACTGGGACATGTTCAAAAAGGTCTTTATTTTGCTCATACTGCACCTCTTTTCACCATGTCTGTTGTGATTGGTCAAACGCTTAGAGATGTCCCGCCCCTTAGCCAATCGCGTTCAATGTGTTGGAAGCGCGAGTGATTCCGTATCCAATGGAGGTTGTTCAGGCATGGGGGGTGTTTGGGAGTTTCAGAGAAGCATCACAAAGTCTACAGAGGATGTTACTGTGAAAAACTCAATCAAAATCCTTCATAGTAAAGACCCAGCATCTCAGTGTATAATGTGATAGAGATTTAATCACCACAGAGAACTCCTCCTCCTCTGCATCTCCTCTGTGTCCCTGCTGGGGAGAAGCTGCTCTCCTCAGGAGCGCTGCCAGCTGGAGCTCCACAGGCTGTGGGCGGCTGAAGACTGAAGGAAGTTATCTGCAGACACATCTCAGAGAGTTTCCCCGGCCCTCACACAGCAGGGTTTGCTTAGTTTGCCTTTTAGGAGGCAGAATGTTGAAGATGTTAAACCAGATAAATCTTATGCAGGCTCTGTTAGATTACAGTGACACACATTGTGGATGAAATAGATGTTCAAGTGAAAAAAACCTCACAGTTAAAGAGAGGAAAGTCAAGGAAAGCTTAGAGCTACTGCTACGCTAATGCACGTTTAGAGTAAGAATAGAAAATTGAACAGCTACTGAATGATCAAAGAAATCATGTGAACTACTTTGGGTTTATTAATTTTTCTTTCTATAATGAATATGGGCCTCCCTGTGTGGCATTGAGCAGGAGAGCCACAGACATTTCCACATATTGGACTCTTTAAAAACAAATCTACTATTTTTTTTACAGTCCCCCTTTTTTTCTTGTACAAATCAGTAACACAATGAAGCCATTCCCATTCAGTGTTCCCTTTCCATGGAAGCTCTTTCTGGAAGAGGACAGGAGAGGTTTGATCCCCACTTCAACATGGGGGTTGTTCTTCGCAGGCCACCCCAGCATCGCTCACTAAGTCATTATATTAGGATGTTCTTTTGTTCTGCAGCGCTCCAAGGGAGTCCTGAATCTATTTTCCCCCGGCGGGTGTTAGCTGTGCTGTAGCGCCTCTTGTCTTCTCTGGGCATCAGCAGGCGTTCCTTTCCCATGATGCTTTAGGTGCTCTGCCACACAGGCACTCTATTTTAACACTGTAATATCGTAACATGAATACCAGGTATTTTGCACAAACATTTAACAAAATGCGCTTAGCTAATTGAATGAGTGTTTTAAGGATTTTGTCCTAGCGTAAAGACAAAGCTAACCAGGCTAACAGCTGCAGACAGATAGCCTGCACTTCCACATGCACAGAGGAAGTGAAATCTTGTTTGTATGTGGGTTTAAATATATTTGTTTATGTAGAAAGTGTATATCCATGCCTCAGAGCAGGTGTCACACTCACGTTATCAGACACTGTTGGTTAGCTAAAGAAGGAGCATTAGCCTTAGCAAGCTGCTTTAGGACCTACAGGACAATTTGAGGATGTTCTATATTTGTATTATTATCAGCTGGTTATTTAATGTGTTGGTCTTTCTCTTCATACGACCTAGCAGATGTGTCTCAGCCTCAGATAGTTCTTTCTCTTTGTGATAAATCTAATTATCACCTTAGGATATGATAAAGTAGATCCTCCAACACTCTTTCTGTTGGAGCCTCTTTTAACACCTCAGAGGAGGAGAAGTGTAAAATATTATTCTGAGCCAGCGTGCTTCACACTAATGTGGGATCCTTTACATTAAATAGAGATATTATTTATGGCTGTATTAGAATATTTCTCTCATTGTTTTATAATACATATCACTTTGAAATCTTCACATTCAGGCAGCTGAACTCAGTACGTGATTGATGCAGGATTAACTGGAGACTGGTTTTCCCTTCCTTGTTCTATAGGTTTTTTTGCATGTCAATGGTCTGCAAAGGCTAAAATCCCTACGTTCTTTCCAGAGGGAGTTTCTATCCCACACACTAACCCTTGAAACGCCTCCTTTGTTTACTTATGGAACATAGTGACATCACAATGGAACACTTGCGCTTCTATTGGCCAGAACTCAAACACATTGAATGTGACATTTCTAAATGATTGACCAATGACAACAGAACCAGCCAGTTGACCATCAGAGCAGACTGGGCCCTGGTTTGAGACAGAGGGTGAAAAGAGGGACTCTGCAGGACAAAACAAATCTTCTTTTACCGTATCAAATTTTAATAACATAAAAAAACTCGTAATCTAAGTAGATAAATATAAATGTGGTATTTGAATACTTTGCAAGCATATTTTTTTATTTATTATTCTTTTTTGTTTAACATGTATATATTCATATTACTTTATTTGTTATACTGTATGTTCAAATCGTTTTTATAATGGAACTATTTTCTGCTCCTTTTCCACAAAGTATTCTTCTTACTTTCCTTCATGTATGTGTGGAGGAGAAATCGTCAGTAATAATGTTTGGTCTGCTTTCCGCCTCACTGCTCTCCGATGCTCTGAATCTAAATTGGCTTCCAGTTTTCGGTTTTGTTTCCAATACAAATTGATTCTTTGGAGAGGCTGCATTATTCTCTTCTTGGGTAATTTATGAGCACCCCCCGTCCCTCTTTATGTTGTTTCACAGAGGTAATAAGAAATATTTATATATATATAGTATATACATCTCATACTCTGCATACAGCATCTCCAGGCTGAAGTATGATAATCGGTCCGAAACCTCAATCAGACTCAGTGAGAGCTGTTTACTGTGCTTCTCCATGTGGAAAATGAAGGTGGACTGGAGAGTGGCCCACTTTAAATATGTTTACTTTAAACTGGGTGAACTGGAATATCAGGAGAGGTACTGACCACCCCTTCAAATGAGACAAAGTTAATCCAACTTGACACCAATCCTCTGCTAAAGTCAAACTCATCATGGCTGCAGTTTATACTCTTACTGTCGGAGCACTGTATATACCTTGTATATATAAAGCACGGTCCCTGAGGCTTGTTGTTATTATCACTAACATTCGAATAAACCTCTTTATTACTTAATAAAGTACAGTCATAGCAAAACGGTGGTTGCAGAATGTGATGCTTTATAACAGCTGGATCCACACTTGATGTTCCTTTTGTAGATCTGATTCAAGTCTCAGTTTAGTCGGTCTGGCCTCTTTCTTTATTGTCACTTTCAAAAGACAAAGTGTTGCGTTCAGGAGCGGATGGGAGGATCCCAGCTGTCACCGTCTGATCACAGCCTTCTGTAGTTATTATAAAGTTTGATTGGTGACCTTTGCATGGTCCGCCCTCCCTGCACGTCATCATCTGTCACATATTTTATATAATGAAATATATCCAGGGCTGTGATTCATGCAGCCCACTCTCTGCTGCACCCTTTATCCTCCGTCTGTCTTTGTTCCTCTGGATGTTCCTCAGCTCTACATCCCGTCTGTCCGTCTCCTCCTGTCTCTCTGGTCTCTGATCAGAGTGTGTGTGTGTGTGTGTGTGTGTGTGTGTGTGTGTGTGTGTGTGTGTGTGTGTGTGTGTGTGTGTGTGTGTGTGTGTGTGTGTGTGTGTGTGTGTGTGCTCTCTGTCGGGTCCGGTTGCTTTGACGCAGTGTGAAAAGACTGGATCTGATCAGCTTCTGTCACATGTTGACGTATATAATCTGTCCTCACAGTTTTTAACCCAGAGACTCACTTCATGTTTCCTGCTACCGAGGTCACATGAACCTCACTTATAAATATAGATGCTTTCTTTAGTGTGTGTGTGACCATCAGTCAATGTTTCTGGATTCAGAAATGTGTTGCTGAAATTATTTATTTTCACTTTTTATTTTTTAGTATTTACCCAAATAGAGCTTTTTAGAGGTCATTCTTTTACATGTTACCGTTGTTGTTTAAAGGTAAAGTACGTGACATTTCCACATTCAAATGTGCTGGACCTCAATATTAAGTTGAGCTATTTCAAATATAAACGCTGCATATCTTTTGTACGAAAGAGGATTAGGGCCACATGTGACATTTCTTTTCGACACCTGACCAAAAGTGATGCATTTTATTTCCGAGGAGAAAATCTGAATTCTGAGAAAAACATTGGGGCTTATATAAAAAATATTGCGTGGGGCAGCTTTAATATAAACAGCATTACACTTCAATTATGTAGTTAATCAAGATATATACAGTGTGTGACGTTTGAAGACACTATGTGATGTTTCCTCAAACATCTTTTCATTTCTGTGCATTTTCTGTCTAAAATCGTCCAACAGTTTGCTGTTGTTTATCGTCAAAGCCTGAAGCAGCATGAACAGCACCCTGTATTAAAGCTCATGTGTTCCTCTCCTCTGCAGGTACACCTACAATCTGTGCCCGTTCAATCAGGTCACTCAGAAGAGCACCGCGGGGACCGAGGTCTCGTTAGGGTGAGTACCAATCAGCTGCTCCTCAGCAGCTCACCCCACACACAGCAGAGGGAGGTCTTTTGTAAACAGCTCCAGGAACCCAACACGCACCAATCATTTTCTTCTTGATATTAATCAGATACTTGCAGCGCTGGAGAACTCTGACAGCTCTTCAATCATTGTTACAGCGCTCATATGAAGAGTATGTGTGCCATAGATTTTTTTGAAATTGTAATTCAATCATGTGACCCTTAATCAATCGCTAACAAATCTTCGTTAGCGTTTTAATAGCTTCTGATCAATAACAGTTTCATGTATGGCTTATTTTATATATTCTACCTGCTGAGTGAAACTGATTTAACTCAGCCTTCCATTTGTTCTATTGTCACGTCTTTCATCGTGTTAACATCTGTCAGACAGGTCCAGATAAACATGAAACTTATTATACATTTTCGTTTTTTTAACTTTTTATTTGAGGTGATAATTAGGGGATGTCGCCTTTTATTTTAGGTAGCAATTACAGAAACCATTCACATTGAGACCTTTCAGGACCCATTTCTTTATGATTGGCTGCAGAGCGGGCACGGAGGCTATACACAGACAATGTAAAGGCATTAAGACGACAGAAGAAGTGTCAAAACATTTATTCTCTTGTGAGACGTGAAGCCATTAGGCCTGACTCGTCTCCTGCTGGCAGCTGAAGTGACACGTTAAAGATAATTCATCAGCAATTATCTCCTCCTGCTCTCAGATTGTAAATTAATTGGAGTCTAAAGTTGTTTTTGCGTCGCCACCTCCCACACCACCCACTCACTGGAGGAGCGGGAGGAGGAGTAGCAGCATGTTTTTAGCGCAGAAAGAGGAGAACAGCATGCTAGCTTTGAGTCATGTGACCCCACGCTTTGCTGCCTGTCACTCACCGTGTATGGCAAGGCGTGAGGACCAAACAGAACCAGCGTCACACATGTCCCCATCTGAGAGCTGGTCACTCTGTCTGCAACTAAAAACAGCATTTGAATCTTTACTCTTAGTCTCATGAGGAACCCATTCTTATTTGTAAGCTTCTCCGGTTTAGCACTAGTACCAATGTACCAATTTGAAATGCACAGCAACACTGCAGTAATCAGATGGTTTTAGAGCATTTATCCTCTGTTATTGACTGACAGGATATGACAATGGCACAAAATCTCACATGGCGACATTTTTAATAACTCAGTAGTGTCTTGTAGTGTCATGGCCCCTGCTATGATGAGCTACAAAAAGCACCACCACATATCTGCCAGTCAGACTGCATATTAGAGCTGATGTGGACAGTTTATAATAACTGCAGCAACACTGGCAAGAGGGGCAGACAAGTTAACCTTGAGACCCAACTCAATTAACCCGTCAGTGTGCTATTTAGCTAGCAAAGTTTAGCTATTCACATTGAACGTTAGCTATTTAATAGTTCCTCGTCTGAAAAACTGTAATTACCTCATTACAGTTCATTCAAAAGCTTAAACACCGTTTATTTGGCAAGTAAATAACTTGTGACAATATGCAAAGTAATAGCAATAAGGCTTTAACCCAAATGACATGATACGGCAATTCCTAGAGCCGGAGGAGAATAAAATGTGTACGCTTTCCTCGTGAAGTGTTAGAGACACGACTGAACACAACAGAAAATATTGTCGATGTGCTCAGAGATGATTTAATGTAACATGAATCACATGCAGACACCTCGTTGGTATGTTGTGGGTGTAGCAAGCGGGGCGGCACTGTGTCTGTGGAGGTATATATGGAGGGGACTAAAGTTCATTTTTTATCCTGACAGACCATCAGTCAACGGGATGCATCCGTCCTCCTGATATCAATCTGCATGGAGGGAGGTGGGGGGGGGGATTTAAACAGCAGCATTTATCACACCCGCTCCTCCTGCTAAAGGACAGCATGTGCGGAGACTAGAGCAGAAACATTCTTAATACTGACTCGTAGTGTGTTGGTGCGGTATTAATGTTGCTGAATTTTGATTACAACGTCAGTTTGTTAAGTGTGTCAAGGCTCAAAAAAGTTAAAATTGTTCCCTCAGCGTTTCCTGGATGCGTGGTTCTGCAGCATTAAGTTTCCGAATGCTCATATGGAACAATACATCACTTCCTATTGTGGCCACACACAGCCATAAAGATGTCATAAGGCCCAGCAGTCATACTGTATGCTCCCAATTATGTGTAAATGTAGATATTATACGCCTCACATTCACCTCCTGATTCCAGCGTCTCCGTTTCCCATTTAGCTCTCTGCTCGCGCCGCTTCCTGAAATGGCCTCTGCAACAATAGCACGCGCTGCCGTAATGATAATGGAGTGGAGGAAAATGCTTGCATAGCGACAAACACTGTGGCACCACGACAGCGTCGTCCATCTTCATAATGTCCTCCACATGCAGAGCTGCACAAACACACATGTAAATCAGTTCCTGTGCTTATGTTCATATATAACACAGCATTGACTGAGGAAGAAACAGCGCTTACAGAGCATGCATGCATTGATTTCTCTTTGTCACGTGCGTTTCCAACGTGTTTTTGAGCTTATGGTGAATAAGAAGCTTGTAGAGTGCGTCGGCAGCCATTTCTGAGGTTTGTTGATGAGCAAATATTCCTTCAGATACAGTCTGAGATGTAGGTTCTTGTTGTTGTTGTGGTTCAAGGTTTTCATAATTTTCTCCCAATTGTAACTTTTGCCAATCAGGCTGTTTTCAGCTTGGTTTCTTGGTTATTGTTTTCATTTGTCAGCGCGGTAGCAGAGCAACTTGCCGTATTTTCATGACATTTGGTGTACCTACATTACACTGTAAATATAATGAATGACTGAACTATCCACTCCACAGCTGTTGTAAATCATTTTTTAGCTATAAATGATATCAAACCCATACAGTACAAATACATATTATTATTATTATTACATATTTAAGTTGTTGGTTAAAGAAGTAAAAGGCAGTGGTTTTGGCTCTAATAAACATAAAATATATTTGTATTATATTTGGAAATTATTTTTCTCTTCAAAAACTGGCGCTGACAATAATTAATTAATTAATATTCGTATTATGATTTTTTGTTTTTTTCTTTCTTTTAATCCCTGCCTATAACATGGATTTTGTTTCATACTTGGAATAATGTGCAAATGTGAAACCATTTGTTGATACATAATGTCCTTTATTAGTTATTTATTGCATTTCCTACACTGGCTTGACAAATTAGAAAGACGACATCCCATATTAGTTTAACCTCACTGCCTGCTGTTAGCAGCTGTTTATGCTAAGCTTACAGTGTTCACATTAATATTTCCCATGCTCTGCTGCTGGTGAGAGGTTCTTACTGCTGAGGGCTTTTTGTACATGCTGTGGTTGTTAGCAGGAAATGGCCTGAGCTCTAAGTTAATTACTGCCTGTTGACAGACCGTGTTAGGGTGTTGGTAAAATAAAAATGTATCTTAGTTAAATATTGTTTAGAAGATATGTTAGGCTTCAGTTTAAAACATGCTTTGTGGTGCACACAAAGTCTTTCTACCTCACTCTACCCTTGAAATTGAATCGCTGAAAGTCACACACTACTTTTAGACTAAGAGACTGAGGAGCAGGTGGTGAAGGTGAAGGGTCGTCTAATAGCTTTTATTTTTGGGACCTCGGGGAAATCAGGCAGCCACGAGCTTGGGATCAGGGGTCCACATGTGTCTCCACGTAAAGTTCAAGGAGCTCGACCTCCTGCTGTGCAGGGTCAAACTGTTTGTCGTTGTCCCACCCCCACAGAGAGGAGGAGGAGGAAGAGGAGGAGGAGGAGGAGGCGGCAGCATGAGCAAGAACATATCCAGGGATAAAAGTGGCATAATAATTCCTGTAGACAACAAGATTAATGAGACAGACTAAAAAAGGAGGAGGAGAGGAAGGGAAGGAGGAGGAGGAAGAGGAAGAGGAGGAGGAAGGGAAAGAGGAAGCTTCCACAGCTTCATTTTGTCAGTATTCAAAACACATCTCCATGTAACTGCTTCATTCATCAGAGCTAGCCTCGCAACATAACACTAATCAACCTACAATTTACACTGTAGCTATTATTTATGAGACATTTTTATTTTGTATTGTATATAAGCAGTGTTGTCCCCAGTCGTTTTCCCAGAATGCACTGGTGTAGAGAGCTGCAGTGATGGCTGCAGGCTGTCACTCCTCTGAGGGTTTTCTCCAACATCACACACTCTTTTCTGTGCTCTTATGGAAACATGTTCATTTGATCAATAACAGTCCATTCCTCATGAGAGACAGCATAAAGAGAGTAAGAGTTTCTGTTGGTTCCCCTCCCTCCCTCCTCCTTCTGAAGATTAATCACTGTTTCATGTTTAGATAGAAGAAAAGTGCTGTGGCTAATTATCTCGATGGGAGGCCATTTTTTATTTCCCATCAGTCGCAGAGGGATCTGTGAGATTAATACTGTAATAATACTGTAACATGAGCAGATTGCAAATGAGACACTGCAGCAACTTCTCACAAATACCCCTTCAAAAATACTTTCAAGGTATATGCTGCATGTTCACTACACTGTGTGTGATGGCATGTGGAGTATAATATATATATTTACATGTTTATATTTATATAACACCCTCACTAACAGGGGGTAGCCATTAGAGAGTAGGGGGAGGGGCTTTATCTTTTATATTTAACTGAAGGCAGGGCGGCGATAATGACTCTAGTAAGTGTGTTAAAGTGTGTGGTTGTGTGTGTGTGGGGGGGGGGTCTGACACTGTGAACCCCTGATGGCCTTTCTGCTAGGTTGCCGTGGTAACGTGTGGTTGTTAATGAGGCAGTGAGCTGTTAGCTGAATACAGATGTGTGGCAGTGAAATATGAAGTGTTCAACTGCAGTTTGATTTAGCGCCTTGTGAAATGGCCTCACTGTCGTCATTGATTCACACTAATAATGGGCCTATACATGTAAAAAGTGTCCAAAAACATTTGTTTTCATGTGTTTTAAAATCTGAAAAAGATATATAGTCATATATACGAAAACAATATTTCATTCAATAAATTCAATTCAATAAAATGCATCCCTTAACATTTAATATTCAGGGAAACCTATACTAATTATAATAATAACTGTATACATAAGAATGATAATAATAATAATAATAAATACATTATATTTTATTACTTATTCAAGGAAAGAAATATTTGAAAAATATTATAAGATGAATATATTATCTGTCAACATTGAATCTTTAGGGAAAACTATATACAAATACTACAAATAAAGTAAATAATATAATATAACTGAAATAAAAAGAACAAACTAATAGATGCAACGTTTGGCTTTATAAATCTTTCACGGATGCTTTTCATCCATAAAATGTTGAACTTGAGTGTAGACAGTAGAAAGGTTTATTTTGGTATTGAGTACACATGTATGCAAACATCCTTCAATGCATGAATGGTTGCAGGCAGCTTCCTCCTGTGCATGTGAAGTGGAGTCAGCTCTCTAATGTCTACTGAGAAAACACTGAAGGCAAATGTATATTCAGGCCCCGGCCCCACGAGGACGAAAACGGTCGTTTGCGTTACTGTTTAGTGTCATATAGACCGTTCGGCCACACGAGGACGACCGAATATGACAGTAAACAACTGCGGAAACGATAACGGGTCCCAAGGTGGATAGAACGGCCTACGCAACGCTCTGGGTGGTCCAACGGCTCCGTGTGTGATACGATCATTTTCTGATATTGATGACGCAATAGCCCCGCCTCTCCCCACCTCTGCTGCTCACCCCCGCGTCTAAGTAAACTGCACACTGAATTCAGATTATTTATCTTTCTCTCGATATGGACATAAACGCGAGTGAAGTCTAATCTGACAGGACGGAGACACGCAGCTCTGCTCACTTGCAGCTCCTCCCGCTGTGATGCAGCGGTGAACGGAGCAAAACACACACTTCAAGTCAGATCATCACCCTTTGCTATTTTAATTACCTCTCAAACTACCTAAACTAGTTATAAATATGTTTATTTTTACTGTCGGGTCACTCATTACTGGATCAGCTGCTGCATGAGACAGACACTGACGCTGTCAGAGAGGGAGGAAAAAGAGAGGCTCGCTCCGTGTATTTTTTTATTATATTATATAGATTCGTTATTCATTTGTTTTAAAGCTCAATAAATAACAAAGAGGACCTTTGACCGGCACTTTTATTATTTTGTCCAGAAGATTAAAACTTTAATATCCGTTGACTGGCGAAAAACTCTGCCCGGTTTCCTCGGCCCCCACCGCGGAGAATAAACAGAAGGGCAACCATGACAACCATGCTTCTTCGCTGCTTTTGTGGAGGAAGTTATAGCGCCACATACAGGCTCCTGCATATGTACTGCAGCCTCTCCAGCGGTTGGAGCCAGACGGAGCTGTCTCGTGTGGACAGACACTATCCGGTGAACATTGCGTGTGGACGGAAGCTTTTTTGCGTTTGCGTTAATCCGATGCGTTTAGCCGTATGCGTCCTCGTGGGGCCGGGGCTTCAGTGTTCTTCTGGCCATGCCTGCATTGTGTTCTCAGCTTCATGCGATTCAGTGAAGCCCCCCCCCAGTACCTGCTGGAGTTAAAAAGAGAGTGTATAATGATAATAGCTTCTGAGAGGTTGATTTGTATGTATATACGAGGAGGGGGGTGAGATTATCTGTGGATCGTGGGGATTTATAACTCGGATTAATGCTGTGATTGAGTTTAAAACAGAATCACTGGCATCACTTAAAAGAAATAAAAGCGGCTTAAATCAGCCGCAGCCTTCATCATGAGAAGCTAATCTGCTTTCTAATGCTAATTAATCACAATAAGCATCAGATTATAGAAATGAGTTCAACAATACAAGATATTGTATTTGAGCAATATCATCATAACACCCCAAAAAAGTATTTTATGTGTTCAAAATATAGCATGACTCTTTGTTTAGTGTGCATGTGATGGTCTGCAGCTAATTTAATCACAACTCTATTTCTGTGTCAATAGAAATCTTACAGAGTAATTCAGAAAATATTTAATTAGATTGGCTCTGTAATGTGTGCAGTCACTATTTCACCCACAATGCAATGCAAATGCTTGGATAACAGCAGGTCTATCTGTGATGGAAGGCCAGACAGATTACATTATGAGCCAGATATCTGCAGGTTTAAAGCCTTTAAAAGGAGCATCCATCATTAGTCATTACAGGAAGTCTGCATGTGGTGAGAAATGGATAAGATAAGATGCACTTTACCTGCCTCCCAGACCAAACTAATAGAATCTGGGTCAAATGAGAACAGAATCTGTCACCTGGATGTTAGACTAAGAGAATGCATTAAGGCAACCATAACTACACCTTTGAGAGACAAATGGGGAGATGTTTTTGTGCAAGTTACTTTAAAATGTAGTTTACTTTTTGTGATTTGACATGAGAGCAACACATTGACTGTCATGTGACTTGGCAGTAAATGTAGATTCTGAGGTTTTCACTTATCGCATCATAATAATTAATGTATACATTTGATCTATAAGGAGCCCAATTACGATGGCCAGTCAAGTAAACTGATGTGATTAGAGATTGATGACTGGCTGTCGTTACATTAAAAGCTATAGACTGGTGGATCGATGTCCAGTGGCAGGCTAACACTTAAACTGGTATTTCCTTGGCTTGTTAGTGTTTTATATTGCAATGCAGCCTCTACATTCACTGCTTTTACTTTTATCATTACTAATGTTTACTTTGATATAGCCTCATAAGCATCATTAGCTGTGAGGAAGTGTTTAGCACAGACGTACATGTATTGACTGATCGAGTCTCTTTAGTTACCGTCTCGCCCTATCTCTGTAGAGGCCTGATGCTACTGAGGAAGGAAATCGCAGCTTTTGAACTTTTTGTAGTTTGACGTACAATACACGACACAGAAGCTTTTAGGCATGATGATATTCTATTTTCAGCTTGGTGCCGATTCTCAGTTTTCACCGGAAAGTTGGGCGGGGCCGTCACTTTGTGCTCGCATCTAAAGTGCAGCTGAGCATCACGTACCTTCGAGCCAAACTGAGATAAACTGCATGAAAAAAGAACTAATCATGGAGCCAGGGGGCTGTTTTCTGCACATTTAGGTTCTGCTATAGACACAGGATCAAAGCAACATATCATAGTGTTAATGCATGAAATAGGGCATTAAGGATGCTTTTCAGAGTTGTAAATAAGGACCTGTGCACAAGTCTGTTGAGGGCTGTATCACATATTTAGTGCAGGAAGGTGATGCACAGGGGATCAATTGTCAACTCCTGCAGCTCTGACAGGAATCCATCGAGGGATTTCTGCCACTAACAAAGTGCTAAAACCCAATCACAGCAGCAAGGAGAAGGAGCACCTCGCTGAAATCAGAGTGGATTTTAAAAAAAAAGGGGAAATAAATGTTATGTTTGTTGGTATTTCTCTTCCCTCCGCCTTTATTCTCCCTATGTTTTGCACCATTCATAACTTATTTTCTAAAGTCACCATATCAGCAGCAATATCAAATATACGACTGCTGAGATGTATTTAAATCCCCCCAAAAATATCATATATTGACACTGAAATCAAAGATCTGTAATCTCTCAAGGAAAAGTTTGTGCACCCGAGACAGTTCTTAGAACAGTACATTTGATTATTAGCATTTTTGCAAAAGCATTTACAGAGTTTTGGCAAACCATTTGGAAAAGGCTTCAGATCCCGTGCTTGCTCAAAGTGAAAATATTGATTGTATTATTTCTCCTCCGGTGCAGACAGTTGTGAGTCTATGTAGGGCAGGACATCAGTAAAATCTCCAATCGACCACATGCAGAACGATTTCCCCTCAAACAGGATTACACTGTTTTACTGAATCAGTCGTGAGCAGCAGCACGTCTGAGAAGCTGCTAAAGTTCAACTGAAGTTATGTGGAGAAAGCTTGGTCACATGGCATCTGTCAGACCAAACTGTAGATATATAACTGTAGAGGAGCTGACAGAATATAGCGTCCGGACACAGCGCTGGCACTCTGCTCTGTCTCTCTGGGAAATGTTTAGTGAGAGCGTAATGAGCTGCAGATCGGCCTCTGTGGCTCGGCTTCACTTGCCTTCCCTCGTGTGGTGCTGCACACACATTAACTCTGACTAATTAATAATTCCCTTCCATTGTTGAGCATGTTGCCAGGCTGGACGCGCTGCCAGGTCTTTGTGTTTTTTTTAATAACCAAAAAAACTTTTTCTGTGCTCAGCTGCTGATAAAATACTTTGTTTCCACTTCATGAAAATAGAGCCTGACCCTGTGTTCCTGCTGTGTGTCTCTCAGGAGGTGGGGGATGTGGGCGGGGACTCCGAAGAACCCGTACAGTCAGATGGTGTATGAGAACGGAGAACCCTGCTGGCAAGGAGGCTCCCGCAGTACTACAGTAAGCGCTGCACACACACTCGGGGATAAACAAAGTAAGAGATACACAAGTGGAACATACACACTGACTGACAGATGGAAACAAAGTCCTTCATCAGAGCTCAATAAATATGTGCTGCAGACCTCATTAGGATTTAAACTCATTATGGTTAATATGAGAATATTTTCTAAAGGAAACACTGCTGTTACATGGACAATATTTAAAAAACAGATACAAAAAAAACACCCTAAAGTAATGGTTTTGATCGCTTAGCAAAATGCTTGATTGACACGCCTTGAGTTTTTAGTGCAATGTTATAAATGCGGCATGTGAACGGACTCTTACCGAACATTACACACTTGTCATAGGAGAACTTGTACTGCCATTTAGAGATGTATTAACAGGCTTGTTGTATGGATCCAGTTTGACCATTATCAGTGACATAGTGTGTACTTCTCACTCTGCAGGGCTAAAGTCCTCCCTTTTTTCAGTCAGTGTAGCTTCTTTGAATATGTCCTAAAAATGCATCTTGTGATCTCCCCCTAGCCTTAAATCAACATCATTTCAACCATGTCTCATGGTCCAAACATTATTTCACTTTTAAGAGACTGATATGAGTATGTTTTCTTAAGAAAATAATCACCCTGTAGCTATGCTTAAGGGAAAACTTAAAGCGGCCTTTTTCAGTTTTGGTGGTGTTCCCTTCCCTGGAGTGTGTTGAATAGGTTTTTGTGAAGGCTAGAGCTAGAATCCAGAGGGGTTTTCGCCTCTTTTCCACTGCGGTACATGCAGAGAGTTTATAACAACTTGGGCCTGGACAAAGAAACCTTACTGGGTATAAATCAATGACAAGTCTTTATGTACACTCCTCCCTTTTCAGATATATGTGGGGTGGACAGAGACAGATCAGCTGTGTGTTTTCCACATGTGGATTTGTTCCCACTCAGCATCCTGGCAGTGAGATGTTGTGTTCAGGGCCCGGTGATGGGAGCTGACATCTCAGTCCTCATTGGTTTAATGCTGCTCCACTTGCTCTCTCTACTTCTGTTCTTTATTTCTCCGGTATTGCCTCCTCTTACAGACACTTTTATGAGACCCATTTACATTTTGTGTCAGAATTGTATCAATGTAATCATCTTATTTCCTGTGCCTGGCCCCCTCTGCACAAATCACAGTCTAATAAATGTCGTTTGCAAATATATGTACTCTTGCCATCCTGGGCCCCCTTTGAAAAGACTCAAATGAATTCCTTTGATACGACCTCCTCACCGAGAGCAGGCGGCATAAATGAAGTCTCGTCAGAAGTCGGCGCTCATTATATTTGAGAAGCTGAACTCGTCTCTGGGTAGTGCCGCGGTGAGCGCTCTCCTCTCTTTACTCTCCGGCTGTGGGACCGCTGAGGTACTGTTTCACTGAGGTAATCCAAATTAAAGTAGCATGCAGCAAAGAGTCTGTAGGGAGGGGGAAGTGAACTGCTTCACTTATTAATTAAATTCAAAGTGCTGGGCTACGAGCTGCACTTATTGTAGCTACAGATATAAACCAACCAACAGTTTCCAAAATATAGGTCAGATTTTTGTTTGCCAAAAGAAACTTAGACCATGATATAGAGATGGCAAGAAACATGCATCACCATGTCGGTGAACAGTATCCCACTTATTACACGGCTAAACACTCTTACTTCCTGTCTATCTCCTTCTGCTCTTCCCTCCAGTGTTTACTTCCTGTCTGTGTTCTTTTGCTGTTCCCTTTAGTGTTGACTTCCTGTCTGTGTTCTTTTGCTGTTCCCTTTAGTGTTGACTTCCTGTCTGTCTTATTTTGCTTTTCCCTTTATTGTTGATTTCCTGTCTGTCTTCTTTTGCTTGTTCCCTTTAGTGTTGACTTCCTGTCTGTCTTCTTTTGCTTTTCCCTTTAGTGTTGACTTCCTGTCTGTCTTCTTCTGTTGATTTCTCTGACATTTACCTCTTTCCCTCTTTTGCAATATTTTTCTTTCTTGCTCTGAACCAGCTGCAGTGTGATCTGAAACTCAGAGAGCTAGTCTCTTCTTCTCCATCAGCAGATGAACCCGGCTCCTCTCCTTCACCTCCTCACCGTTCCTCCTCTCTGCTTTCTAGGTCACACTGACATGCGGCACAGAGACAGCGCTGTGCGGGGTGAAGGAGCCTAGCAAATGCCAGTACATCATAGACTTCCAGACTCCTGTGGCCTGTCAGCCGGTGCTGAAGCAGCGGGGCGTCCACAGTGAACTGTGACCCTCGGCCTGCATGGATGTAGCCCCCCCCCCGGCTAGCCCACCGTGACAGTCCAGGGTCCCCGCTGACATCAGTGCTGTCAGAAAATGTATTCTTCCAACAAGCTCGCTGTAGTTAGAATATGATGATCAGGTTTCATTCATTGTTACAGCTTTACATTGTATTAGAATAGAGCATTTATTAATTAAAAACAGTAAAATCCTCCTGTGGGTTGACAATTACAAGATTACAATGTAAATAATTACATAAATGATGTGAAGCTACATTTATTGCAAGGCCCAATTACATTGCCACCAATAACCATTTGATGTATTCCCTCCCCTTTCCCCACTTCCTGTTCAAAATTAGATGTCTTAACTGCTCTTCCGGTTTAGCAGCATTGTAAAAAATGAATTTAAGTTGAGATAATTTACAGCTACACTGCGGTGATCGGATGGTTTTACAGCATCAATCCTCTGTTAGTGACTGTCAGATGACATACGGAAATGGCCCCAAATGGTATACAATTTGAATAACTCTTTAGTGTCTATGGTACCAAAGCATATCTGCCGGCCAGACTGCATACTGAAGCTGATGTGGACAGAAGGGTAGAAAAAGGTTCACAGTGTTGACATTTAAAGAAACAAGATAACTTTTTAGCGAGCGTGAACGTTAGGTGTTTTGCTAGAAACCGCACTCTGTCTATGAGAGAGTAAAAATCCCCTTCTAGTTACCTACCTACTTTTAGCTATCTAGCGAGCTTTTGCTAAATTGGTGGCTCTCCTAATTGAAATGGGAATTTTTATTCAACATCCCATGGTTAAACTTACAGTACGGACCTGTGTCTACCTTTCAGGCAGTGAGAATAATTATATATAAAAACATTGTTGACGTTTTCTTTTTAAGAACCAAACAAAGCTTGCTGTAAATTCTCAATTATGTTTTTTGCATAACGTAATCACATATTGCTAATCAAAATAGTTAGTGTCTCGTCTGAAAAACGGTTATAACTTAGTAACAGTTGATTCAAAAGCTGCTATTAGCAATTAAGCTTTAACTGGAAGTAACCATACATTATATCGGTTCAATTCTGTCAAGTTAAAATGGCAGGTTAAATAAAACCAGCAATAATCTTAGGGACATATTCCGACCATCAGGAAAAAAGCAATACATATCTTCTCATAAAATTCACTCCCTGCATGGAGATTTATTTTTCTGGGGGATTATACCAAAAGACAGAATTGAGGTGATCCATAATCTGCAGCCTTCACATTATGCAACAAAAATGTTCTTTAATAATGATACAAAAAGCAAAACCCCTGCCTATTGCCACTTTAACGCTAAAAGGAGAAATTGTGTGTGATATTAAATATTTGTCCAATTGTCCCATGAAAAATCAAACCAGCAATGAATAGATGCTCTCTTTAGCTTAGCATAGAGCCATGCTGTTGCACACGTTGTTTTTCATGATGCACATGAGCGGGTTATTTTAGCATCTACAAAATGTTTTCACCAAATGTGTATTAATCTGTAGATGAAAGTAGTCTTCAACAAATGCACTATACTAGCAAATGCCAGTTGGTGTTACTAAAAACTGCAGCTGTAAGTAAGCCTCTTTTCAAAATATAACTTCATATTTTCAACTGTTTTTTACAGATTAACATCATCAGAAATAACAAATTATATCTCTTAGAGAAGTTAAATAGTATTGAGAGAACCAAAACAATTTGTTGGCTTTGCTTGTTGACATGGGAACAATACAAAAAGAGGTGCACCAGACCTTATCCATTCACAGCACCAATGTAACTGCTGTATTAAATAACTGCTCATCATAAGCACAAATAAAGTACTTCATATTTTGGTATAATCATACTTGATTCTTGTCCTAATTGAACAGATTGCGTAGCATAGGCTCATTTAGGATCAGACTGCCTCCTATATTACTTTATTCATAGCTGCATCACTGTTAGCTCTGCTATAGCCTGAGCTAATTCTCCTGATGGGAAAGTTGCTGCGCGTCGGCCACCGTAGAAATCCCCTTCTATGAAGGTGTATGAAAGTAAATATTTTTCATCTAATTTGAAATTAAAAAGACATTGAATTTGATATATCAGATTTTTGGCCTCCGAATTGTATTGCTTGAATATTCAATGACCTATTTTCACTTCACACTAATTCAGAAAAAAATCCATAGTATTCAAGCTGCTCAAATTAGACTGTGCACAACCATGTATACAATTCAGATTAAACATCGAGGAACCCAAGGAAAAGCAATTGATTTGTAGATCAAGTCAAACCAAAAGCCGGCCAAATCTAGCTCGGTTTTTCGCTCTGTCTGTCACGGCTTCCGGTAAAGTTTCAGCGTAGATTTTGCCCCCAAAAAATTGTCAGCGAGCAGGTTCCATGTTTTAAGCTGACCGTGACAGTGTGCAGTGATTTGGCTGGATGTTGGTTTGACTTGATTTACAATCGATAGTTTATCTTTGGAGACCCGGTTTTTAATCTAAATTGTGTTGCAACTAAAAAGTCAAATTATTATATACGTATAGCTTTTAAGTAGAACTTCCAACAAAATCTAGGAGTTAGTTTATCAGAAAAGAAAAGCAGTGAGTTGTGGGGAGGATTCAGGAGGGGAAAACCCACCTCCTTCCAGCACATTAGCACATGAAGGAGCAGGGATGGAAAGTCTTCCAGTTGAGCGTGGGTGTATTTGTGTGTTGACTCCAAATTTCTAAAAGGGCCCAGAGGCTTTAAGTTGCATTAAATCTCCACTTTGTAGAAACTCGTTCAAAGTACCTGTTCTGTGGAGTGGGAGAAAGCGCCTGCCTTACTGGTGACTGCCTGGTTGAATGACGCCCACCAAAACACACTATTGTTTTTCAGCTCCTTCCTTTGAAGGGAGGCCAGTCACATCCTCAGGGCTGAGAGGGAAAAAGGACACTCGAGTAGAGTCACATGCATCTCCCTGTCGTCCACAGTTACTCCAGTTCAGTCACGATACTGATGCTTGACACTCAGCTTGTAGCCTACATCTTTTTTGTCACACAACACCATTTAAATACATGAGTGAGAAATCAGTACATACAGTATGTACCGTTTCAGGCCTCAGTTGTTATGCTATGTGTAGAACGGATTGTAAATGTTGTTCCTAAATATATTTCAGGCTATCATTTAATTGTATTTGCAGGTTTTTTTTTTCGTATTTTTGACAAGCTACACTATGCTGTTTTTTGGGCATATTTTACACATAGTATACTATGTTGTTTTTTGCATATTTTCGATGTACTAGTGTGCTGTTTTTTTGGGAAGATTCAACATAGTGTGTCGTTATTTTGCACATTTTCGACATACTATACTATGCCGTGTTTCAGAAAATATCGACATACTACTATGTCGTTTTCTTGCATGTGTGGGGGAAACTTCTGAAGCAATTGGAAACAGGACTCAGAGAGACACGAGGAGAGCTGGAGCTTTGATGGCAAACACTGATGGTTTATTTGGAGTTACAAGACAGGTGGTATGTCACGAGTTGACACAGCGGTTGCCAAACCAATTCTCAAGAACTCTTCTGCAGCTCGAGGTTTTAACTAGTTCGGAGTGTAATAATCAACATTCTTTATCAGTGGGCCTAAACATTATGGACCCTGAATCTAACTAGAGCTCTCGGCCATAGAAAAGAATGTGCGCCAGGGAACCTACGTCCCTGAACAGTAAACCACCTCATGGCGGCTTGTGCTCTGTCATAGACTGGCAACAACAATGCGTCCAAGCTGCTCCTCCTTAAAGGGGACCTATCATGCAAAATGCACGTTTGTACGTCTTTTATTCATGAATATGTGTCCCCGGTGTGTCAGGGAACTCACCAAGTATCAGAAAACACAACCTCTTTTTTTTTTCGCCGGTCAACATGTCCGTTAAAGTTTAAATCTTCCGGACAAAATTAGAAAAGTGCCGGTCAAAGGTCTTCTTTGTTATTTATTGAGCTTTAAAACAAATGAATAATGACTTTATATAATCATATCAGAATAAAACACGGAGGACGGAGATCTCTTTTTCTCCCCCTCTTCTGACAACCCAGCAGCTGATCTCAAAGCACGCTCCCCTCTCCTGCAGGGGGGGGGTGGTCAGCTGCAGCTCACAGAATCAGCCCCTGCAAAAACAGGCCTGGAAAGAGCAAATAGAGCGAAATGAGGCATGGCTAAAATGCAGGATCTGTTTGGTATTTTGAAAAAAAATACCTTTATATAGGTATGGCCCTACAATATATTGTTCAAATATAGCATGATAGGTCCACTTTAAGAGAGATAGCAATACCCAAGGCTGTAGAACTATGCCATGGGAAAAGAGACAGTAAAGAGAGAAAACAATGAACTGGGTCAAAGGTTGAATACCTAAGCAAATTATTCCCTAACAACTATAAAAAAAATAAGGGGACCCTTATATAAAAAATTACATTTTTACATACTATATGGGGGGACCCTTATCAAAAGGTTACATTTCATCTAAGGGGACACCTTTTTCATAACATTTACATTTGTATATAAGGGGAGACCCTTATCAAAAAAGTTACATTTGTATATAAGGGGGGACGCTTATCAAAACATTTACATGTGTTACAAGGGGGGACCCTTATCAAAACATTTGCCCAATGTGTTGTATGTCATGTGCTTGCATATATATATTATTCACCGCCCGCTGTGAATATTGGGTTTTTCCATAATGGGTATGAAGGGAGGGGGGACCCTTGTAAATAAACATAAAAGGACCCCTTGTAAATGTAAAACATTTACATTTTACATAAGGAGGGACACTTATAAAAAAAGTTACATTTAATATATAACCCTTATCAAAACATAAGGGGGGACCCTTATCAAAAAAGTTACATTTTACATAAGGGGGGACCCTTATCAAAAAAGTTACATTAGTTTATAAGGGGGGACTCTTATCAAAACATTACATTTTACATAACCCCCTTGTGTTTTTCCATAATGAGCATGAAGGGAGGGGGGACCCTTATACATAAAGAAAAAAGGACCCCTTGTAAATGTTAAACATTTACATTTTACATAAGTAGGGACCGTTATCAAAAAAGTTACATTAGTATATAAGGGGGGACCGTTATCAAAAAAGTTACATTTCATAATGACATACTATACTACGCCTGGTTTCTACACACCATACCATGCCTTATTTCGAAATAAAATACCATGTTTTGTTTTGCATTTTTTGGACATACTATTCGACTTTTTTGTAATTTCTTTCTACATACTATATTAAGTCTTTTCCGTCATTTTTTTCTACACACCATATAGAAACGGCTTATTTCGACATAAAGTACAATGTTTGTTTTTTGCATTTTTTTGACATGCTATACTGACTTTTTTGTCATTTTTAACGACATGGTTTCTACACACCATACAGTGCCTTATTTCAACATAAAATACCATGGTTTTTTTGTTGCATTTTTTCTAAATGTAAAAAAACATTTTTCTGTCATTTTAGAAAAAGTTACATTTTATATGAGAGGGGACCCTTATCAAAACAATTACATTTTATATAAGGGTATGTAAGGCTATGTAGTTTTTTCAGAAAATTCGAATTTTTGGATAAACATTTCCAGTTGTTACCTCATAAGACTTGTAAACAATGCTTAACCATCCTATTGTCTTCGTTTTCCCCCCCTTACTTTGGTGTTCGCGGTCAAATTTGACCGGTCCTGTTTTAACTGCTATTACATTAACACAAAAACCATTAATCATCAGCAAATTTAATTTAACACCCTTTCAAACTGTACATATTGTATCAGACTACTGGTATACATGAACAACTGCAGTAAATATACAAATAATAGACACTGAACCATACAGTGGGAGGTTCAGTGTCTGAACTGAACATGTGCCAGGTGTGATCCATGTGGGGGATGGGCACATAAGGAGGGGGGGGGGGACACATCTAGAGTATATCCCCCCATGTGTGTGTGGGTTTTATCTGATCCGGATGGTTAATAATTCCTTTTCTTTATGGTCATTTTTGATCGGGAACACCATGGGTGGATTTAGTCCACAGTTGAATAAATCATCCACAATTCTATGAGAGTGATGATCAGCAGTTTGATATGTTCAAATGTCTACTGTGAAGGATATCATAAAGCCTTAATGCAATTGAATCTAAAACAAAAAAGTTATGATTGATGAAAGTAGTAAATTGGTCAGATTTGAGCCGAAGACAACAGGAGGGTCTTCAGGTCAAATCTGACCTGACAAATCTGATCTGATTTTTCTGACTTTCATCAATGAAGTGAAGATGAAGGAGAGAGTTAGAGGTGCAGATAAACAAAGACAGGAGGAGGAGAGTTTTACAGATAAACAGAAACAGAATTGACAGCCTGGGAGGAAGCTTAAGGGAATGCTTTGAGAGGAGGAGAGTCTGTGCAGAAAACAGCAGTGGGTGGAGCAGACAGGGAGATGTGAAGCTGAGAGGAGGAGGGAGGGCAGAGGGAGGTGTACTTGTGGCAGTGGAGGGTAAATGTTTCTGTTTGTGCTCTCACTTCCCCTGTGGAGTGCATGAGTGTAAGCGTGTCGCGGTGGGAGGCTGGGAGTCCGAGCTGTGATAGCATGTGGTTACCAGAGGCCTCCCGCAGTCTGCTCTCCCACTTCAGACCGGGAGGTAACACACAGCACACAGGCTGTTTTCAATGAAGGAAACTTGCTGCCAAACAGGTAAATCATATCAGATTCAATGTCAGTCTGTAGCTGCTAACGAACACTCCGATATTCAAGGGAAATAGCTTAAAGTAATAAAATCATCTTGGTTTCAAATGTCAAGAAGGACAGCACATGTCAAAAGAGACAGAAACCAAGACATGTTAGCAG